CAGGGTGTGCTTTGTGTGCCACTGCAGATTCCACGCAAAGCAGAAAAGAGATGCGTTAGTGGACAAAAGCAAAGAGAGAGAGAGAGAGAAGAAAGAGAAAGCATGACGGGGAAATAAAGAGGGGATGGAAAAAGAAAAACGAGGAGACAAAAAACAGAGAAAGAGAAAAGGAGACAGGAAACGAGGAGGACCCCTCCAGAGGTAAAACAATAGCACGCATTTATTCTGGGCATGTCTGGCTTTCCGTGCCCCTTTTTCTGCCCGTGTGTGTGTGTGTGTGTGTCTGTGTGTGTCTGTGTGTGTGGATGAGTGTGTGTGCATTCACCAGTGTTGTCTACGATAGGCGTGTTGGTTTGGGTTGTCACCGTGTGTGTCCTGGCGTGGGTGTGTGTGCTCCAGACGTCATCGGACCCCTCTGGAAACTGGAATTTTTTTGTCAGTGTGTGTGTGTTCAACCGTTCAACACAATCCCAGTTTGAGGTTTTATAGCTCGGACACCGGTGGCCAAAACTGGACCAGTGGGGTAAAATGAAACAGCCTAATGATGACAGCCATAAGAACCCATATAACCCAATAATTTCTCTTTGGGGAAAAATGGGTCTTGGCTTTTATGAGCGAATAAATGCAACATGAATACATTTGATCAATCAATTTGATCAACCTGCCCATGTTTCAGTCTAAAGGACTTAGAATATTGTGAGAATGTGGAAATAAAATCCTGTTTGACACTTTTAAGATGCTCAGAAATGGGTGTGAGATGGAAATGGGGACAGAAACAGGGATCTGTGCCCCACATGGCTGATGTTTTAAATGCCATTCATAGCTAAATTGAAGCTTCATTGCTAGATCATGATCGATTTGGTTTATTTCTCAATAGTAACAGTTGTGTTTGACACAATTAAATGAAAAAAGGAAAAAGGTGAAGTCCTGATAGGCTCAGATATGAAAAATAATTGACATATTGTGCTGTGTTGACATATTGAGATGACTGAAGATAACTCTGTCTTCTGTGGGGTTAGAGTCTGAGAGTTTAATTTACTTAATGTGCGTTCTTTATTATTTGTTTATTACATTCGAGTTGTTACCACGGGAGCATTTTAAAGTCGATGGAAGGCTGGATGCTCTGCTTATTTGCTGTACACTTAGATTCCCAACTTCTATTGGTCTTTATGGAATCTAATCCGCTCAGAATAGTAACGTTTTTTTATCTTTTTTACATGTTTAGTGCAGGTTTGGCGTCAGATCTTATCTTCGATTTTTCTTCTCATGACCAGTTTCAAGGCTAAGTAAATACAACTAGATGGACTTTATGACACGCTCACACAGTGATGCACGTATCAGAAATTATACAGGATGTATGTCTTTGAAAAGTGCCCTGGAAGAACCCAGGTATGGAACAGACATTCCAATCTCTGGACAAATGGACAAATCCACACCACAGAGCAGAAATGGACTCTTAAACCGAGCAGTTCTGGTTCCTTAAGCCAGACAGATACTTAGAATGCAGACATCTAACTGGGTACAGTAGTGGTGGCTAACCCGGATTAGCCACATGAGAAAAATATAAATGAACCACAAAGAAATTTAAAGTGGAAAGTAAATTTTTGTGGTTGTAGACCCTAATTCTTTTTTCATAGTCATTAGAATGCAATCATGACCACTCTATTAGATTCTAAATGCATCCAACACACACTGAGGCAATCAAAAATATTGCTCAGAAAAGAAAACTGCAGATTGAAGCTTATCATCCTCCTCCTGGTCAGTCACAAAATTGCAAAGTCAGCTTCAGATCAGAAGCTTTTGATGATGGAAAATCATCTTCCGGACATGGTGTCCATTGTTGTTGGACATGTGTTATAGAAACATGGGTCTTAGAGCAAATTTGAGCGGATGCATGTAGCATATCTATTTTATTACTACTCATCAAGCTCTTCAAAATCTTCCATCCATCCATTGTCGGTCTGCTTATCATCATCAGTCGTCTCTGGGCAAGACATGGGGTGGACGCCGTACAGATCGCCAGTCCATCACAGGGCCACACATAGACACACAACCACACAAGATCAATTTAGAGTCACCATGAACCTATTGTTTGTGTTTTTGGACTGTTGGAGGAAGCCAGAAAACCAATGCGCACACGGGGAGAACATGTCAGGTGAAAACATATGGCACACGTCAAAGAAAGAGAGGAAATAGATAGTTTATTTGTGAGGGAATACGTTCAGTACCTTATTTTGCGCAAATGTGGCTTTAACAGAAGACAAGTTATGAGCAAATATCAATAAATGCCCCAAAAAATAATTGGTATTTAGTTGAATATTGAGTCATTACCTTCTGGTTACTACTGACTCATGTCAGAAGCAAATAACCAAAACCCTGTGTCAATCTCAAGATATGTTGGCCTGTTTATTTAAGAGTTATTACAGAGTTATTACAGAGTTATCACAGAGTTATTACAGGGTTATTTCAGGGTTATTACAGAGTTATTTCAGAGTAGTTAATCTTAATCGGGAATCTGACATCAGTGAGCAGAAGTTCATAACCAACAACAACAATCAAACCTTTTATCTAAAATTGTGCTATATCATTTATTTAGCTGTTCACAAGGCTTAAATCAGTGGTTCTTTCATGAATAATAATCACTGCTGGATTCTGAGCTCAGGCAGTGGAGAAAGACCATTAGTGTGTGGATGTGTTCACTGGAGAGAAGCTGACCCCGGGACAAAATGGCAGCTGTTATCATGCACAGGAGGCCAGCTGTGACCACGTGCGTGGTTTGCATTAGTCAGAGAGGCTACAACAATGAGGACAGGTAGCCCGGGTGGTATCTGGGAAACAAAAAGAAGATTATACAGGGCGGGAAGCTTAAATTCACATCTTGGTGACCAGTTCTGGTGAGCCTAGACTTACAAAGACAGGATGTCCTATGGTTAGCCATGCGGCACTGATGCCAATGCTAGCATAAGTGTGTTTAGATTCTTTTAAAAAGAAATTATAAAGACTGACCCAAATGAGAAATGGCTAAAAAAATAAATTAATCACTCTCTTTTTTAATCTTTAGTCTTTGTTTGTTTAGAAAAAGTCAATTTAAAGCAATATTTTCTGTACTCTTTTCCTATAAATCAATGTGAAAAAAATAAATAAGAGTTAGCGCTTAAGCTAGCTCTGGCTCATGTCAGCTGAAAATGTTTTTTTTGTTTAACATAATGTAGGAAATAGAGACTGAGAGGTCTGGCAGAAAGAGGGAAATTAGTCTGAGTGTTTTTTGCTGACTTTATGAGGGGAAGTGGCTATGTGAAAAGGAAATAGAGGCAAAAATTCAGTTTGCTCCATAAATCTAAAACACTAATTGGGAAGCTCCTGGCGAATTGGGTAGGAAATCACATGATGAAAAACCTTATCATAGCTCAGTTCTTAGCCCTCAAATCAGTCTAACAAGAACCTGACCATGTAGAGAATGTTTTTGTTTGTTTTTAAAAAAAACAAAACAATGGTAAGAATACATTTTCTCAAAGGCAAAACAAAAAAAAAACAAGAAAGTATAGTAAAAATATAACCTACTAGAAATACCAACTAAAGAAATATCTACACAAACCTCCCTCATTTCAACATAAGAAAGGATAAAACTGCAGCTTCTGTGCAATTTTCTATCACAAAAATGATTAAGCCATTTACACGCCGTATAAAATTGGCACACACACACACACACACACACACGCACACAAATCAAAATGACAGCACAATACAACCTGCCCTCCTTTTTTTGCCAGCTGGTACTTTCCTTTACTGATATTTATTGCATGTTATATTTTCAAAATGATATATATAATTTTGAATTTGAAAAGTTTGAAGCACAAAAAGAAAAGATTGTGTTTGCTATGACTGTACATGTAGGCCAGGGGCTTAGGAAAAAGAGATGTTTCCCCCAAAAAAACACAGATGGTACCTTGAGAATGCTTAATGGACATGTGGGAACCACGAATGACCAAAAGCACATTTCTGTGTCAGGGAGAGGTAGAGATGAGGAGAGGAGATGTAGGCAGAGAAGGAGGACTGGGCGTGGTGAGGTGCAGTGGGGGATGGCAGATGCAGAGGAAGAGGAGCGTGTGGGGGTTGGTGAGTCTGGAGGTTACCATGGTGACAGGGGAACGGCAAAAAACAAGAACGTCCCGTAAACTCAGACAATAAAAATAATCATTTCTCATTTCACGGCCCATTCACAAAATGAATTATACTAAAATGTTTTGTACATTTTTTTTAGTTTAGCTTAAAACAAAGACCTCCAAATAGATTAAACAAATCAATTAGTTCAGATGATGCAAGTGGATGATGTCATCTTCAATCCTGAACCTAAGAAAAAATATATAAGGATTTAAGGTATATTTCTGTATTGCACTCTTTTCCCAGCAACACTCTAATCTTATTCTTTTTTTTTTTTAGCTAAATGTGTTTTTTGGCTTTCCATATGGTTCATAATTATAAAATATATCCTTATTGGATTTCCACCCGTCTTTTCCAACTCCAAGACTATTGAAAACCAGCATTGCAGCATATCTGGCGCACACATTTTCAGCCCATTTCTTTTTAAAGGGACTGTTATTTGCTATAATAGCAATCGCTCACTTTGTGATTGGTGGGGCATACCAAAAAACTGCCTTTCTATCCTTTTTTCTTCATAAATTTTGTGCCCACAGAGCAACTGAACACTCTCTTTTCATTCTCTGGTCATGTTTGGTCAGTAGCCACTCGTGAACTTTCGTCTGAATCTGAGCTGTAGATTGTTGATAGGGTTCATTATAGGTTTAGCATTAATGTTTGCTACAACGATAACCAAAAGAGTTGGAAAGGATCTGGAAAAAGGTTGTATGGCTTTGTAAAACTTAAGTTGCCCAGCATAGGAATGCCATCCTTCAATAGGAATAGTTTACTGGACACAAAACCTGTGACCAAATCATACTTCAGATACATTGTATCAGCATATGTTCTGACCCAGGGGGTTTGACATGCCTGTATGGGGATATCAGCAACTAATAAAAAGGCCCTTCTAAAACAGCCCAAACTCTTTAGGACACGAATGGTTCTTTGATATCGCAGTGAGGTGTTGAACTATGGGGAGTCACCTGAGTGTGACCATCTATAGAAGCTCAAATGACACCAAGTCTTCGGATTGCTGTGGCTAACCTATGTAAACCAACCCCTAAACCTACCCCTACCCCTACCCTTACCCCTACCCCTAACCTTACCCCCAACTCTACCCCTACCCCTAAACCTACCACTACCCCAAACTCTACCCTACCCCTAACTCTACCACTACCCCAAACTCTACCCTACCCCTAAATCTACCCCTACCCCAAACCCTAACTCTAACTCTAAATATAACTCTAAGTCTGCCCCTAACCTTAACCCTAACCCTACCCCTAACTCTACCCCTACCCCTACCCCTAACCCTAAGTCTACCCCTACTCCTACCCCTACCCCTACCCCTGACCCTAACTGTCCCTGCTCATTCTAGGCAGACTTCTCTCCATACCTAAGCAAAAGGAGAACACTGTGATCATGAGTTTTTATGCTTCTTTTAATTTTTATTTGAGACTTTTTGCATTCGGGAGTCTACCCAATGATTTTAGAACTCCTTTTACCACATGTTCGGGACTATCTCTCCCTGGTTTCTCAATGGAGGCCTTAGAGGGATTTTGGTAGACATTTGTTGGATTTCGTTACTTTAATCTACATATTTCTCTGTGTTTGTGTATTGTTCTTACTCTGTACACTCTCTCTTGACCCCCACAAGGCATGTTTGGCAAAAGATTGTATATCACACATTAACATCAATGTAAAAGTCATCAAGGGTTTGGTGTCAAGGGAGGCGTAATGGGTATAAAACCGCCCTGGGATAAGCCCATTTGTTTGGCATAACTATGGCCATCAGAGAAACCATTCTGCCCACTAAGATGCTGGACAGGACAAGGAGAAAACCAAAAAATGACTATGACCCAAACCTTGGAGACCGAACTCTACCAGAGACTGGACAAACCCCAACTGTCAAAGCCAGTGTTGAACACAACTCATAACCTTCTCTGGCCTCAAAAGTTAGCAGAACCCTCAGGAATAGACAATCCATTATCTGACGGGTTATGAATTGAGCTTTCAGAGAGTGGAAGACCTTAATTATGTCGGTTTTGATCTCACTCGTTGTTGCAGTGACTGTATTGACCCCTATGAGGATGTGGCTGCACTCCATGCATCAGGCGTGTATGAAGTCCATCTCTTTGGCCATTATTGATACATTTGAGGGTGAAACTGCCCCACTGGTCTCCCTCTATAAGCCCAGAGAGGATGAGAATGAAGAAGTGTTGTACCCCTGTAGTGTAGCTTTAGCTAAAGTTAGGAAACTAACAGTTTTCTGTATTTTTTTAGGTCTTATTTTCTAATATTTTGCTAATCGCAGACATGTTATCAGTAAAGTTAAAGAGCTTGTTGCTTGAGTTACAGATATAGGGGGACGGATGCAGAGTTGTTGGGTCAGGAGTGATATTCCATCTTTATTTTATTGACATAATAGAATGATGTGGACAAAAAAGGGATGGAATTCGCTCTGTTATGAATGTCTTACAATCACTGACCAAGTTTGTAACCTGGGAATGTTCAAACCTGACTCTCAGCAGCCCCATCAATGCTTCACTAAAGCCTTTTTTTTCTCCAAGAGAACCATCAATATGATTAAAGGTTTCCTGTCCAAAAAAGGTCTCATCCATGCATTACTGTCACTAAAACTGCCAAGATTTTTAACCAGGACTCAGAAATCTGAACACACCACAAGAGTTTTAAAATCTTTCCACTGGCTTCCATTCAGTCACAGAATGTTTCAACCCTATGGATGGTTTACAAATGACTCAGGTCAGCTAGTCCAGACCAGAGTCCAGACCAAACATGTTATGTTAGCCGCCAATGCTGCAAACTGACAGTGAAATGGAAACCTTCATCAAATGAGCACACTTCTATCCAGGTTCAAAACCATAATTTTCGCGAGTCTGTGCGTGAAATGTGCTCGGTACCTTTTTATCTCATCTCATTGTGTCTTTTTTCTAATCATTTTAATCCATTTAAGTTATTTTAGTTTTTTCCCTCTATTTTCCTGTATGATTTCTTCATGCCTCTTCCACTCCCAGCATTAATGCCTTTATTTTATGTAAAGCACTTTGAGTTGTTTTGAACATTTTATGTACTACACAAATCAGAATGACTTGACTTGAAAATCTCCTAAATGATGTAATCTTTAAAAGAAAAAATAACTTTAAAAAATACCATTACATTTATGCAGCTCACCTTTTCTCCAAACATAAGTGGTGGAATCCATAATATATCTGATAGACATTAAGTATTTGGAGAAACACGTATCTGTGTGCATGTGCTAGCATTTTCCTTCGTTTTAATTTGATCCAAAACTGATTAGGATAGCCCTGTTAAATTAAAATTCAAGAGGAGCTTTCATTTTTGAGAAGATTGGTTTGAGGATCCAAACAGTTTACATGTACAGGACATATGTTTTTGCATTAGTCGTGCTGGGTGGGAGGTTAAGATTTCATTATGCTAGAAAATGTTTGAGATCTTTCCCTGATTCATGGTGAGTCAAACGAATGATCTAATTTCTTTCCCATCTTCCCCTTTCCCTCCCCTGTGTCCCCTTTTCTCTCTTTTCTCGTGTCTGATCCACAGTCGACTGCTGAAGGAGGGATTGCGGACCTGAGAGAGAGAGCTCTACAGCCTACAGCATCCAGTTTTTTTCTTTCATCCTCTCTTCCGAGGCTTTTGCAGGATTTTATGTCTGGTCTGGTGCAGGATCTGGGAGGGGGCTTGGTTTTCGTTTAGGGTTTCCGGGTCTTGCGTAAACTTTGACTGGACGCTCAGAGATGTGTTTGATGCAGATGTTGGCCCACAGGGGGGCACACCCCCCCAGGTCCTTCCTGACCCTCTCTCTTCTCCCACTGTCCATCCTCCTGTCCTTGCCTCGGTTTGCTCAGAGTGCTATCAGCATCCCTAAAAGCTGTGAGTATCGCTGACCATATCTCATTTCAGAAGGGGGCATTGGTTCCAGATGTTTGTCTAAAAATGTATTTCCGTAATAGATTTGTCTTATTCATTTTTGATGTCTTGTTATTGTTTTGGCATTATTTGTAATAAACATATTTTTTTGTTTTTGCATGGCTTATTGTCTTTCTAATTTGTTAAGTTGATGTGTCTGAAGTAAATTACATTTTATGCATGATCACATTTAAGCGCATCCACATATATTCAGCAATAATCCTGTTTATCACTAACTAAATTAAAAATTATTCCCAACTTTTACAATGTATTTAATCAACTTTCTCTGTATTTACTCTGCACCTTCAACAATTAAGAAAAGACTTACATTTTCCACTTTTCCTCCAACGGTAACAAATATTGTACACATTCATTATATGACATACCTAAATTTCTCAATTTTCCAGGTGTACGTATACACCTGGTGCACTGTAATTTGCAAAGAATGAATTACAACACAATTCCAGAAATAAAGCCGTTTTAATTTAAATAATTCAAAGTAATTGAGGTAATTAAACAAGAGCAGACTAAAACCCAGAAAACGTACACATGACATTGTAAATGTTTAAATCAGGTCAAAATTACCTCAAGACAGCAAAAGAGTTGCAGCTATGTACTCAATTTAACTTCTTTTTGGTTATTTATTCATTTTTATCTAATATTTTCATCTAATATTTTTAATATTAGAGAACTTCAGGACCGTGGCAGCTTCAAATCATTCGATTTTATGAGTGCAGCCATTATCCTTAAAAGAAAGTCAAAACCAAAAAGAATGAGAGAAAGGCATCACCGCACTGTGACAATAAACCATGAACAGTAAATGTATACTGCACAATTCATTACAACACTGCATACATTGGCAAAAGAGTGGAAAAGAATGGAGAAATTGCCAACCCCCCTCTGAGCTCCCCGGGAAACACTTCCATTTTTATTTTCTCATTATTTTTGCCTCGCCAGTACAATCTGAATATCTTTATACCACAGATGGATCTCAAAATAAAACCTTTAAACTTCTCCAGAGGGTGTTGGTGCTCCATTGTGTCAATGAGTGGGATAAAAATCCTGCATGGGCTACATTACCACACGATTAAACATGCAACTATTCTACCCAAAATCTATGATGGTTAAAGAAAATCAACATGTTATCTACATGAGACATGCTTTTTTCTTTTTAATCAAAATGATGGGATTCCATTGGGGGCTGTGACCCCTCTATCCCCCCAACAAATGACGCACTTGGATACACAGATGTAGAAATAAAGAAGGAAGAAAAGAATAACAGTAGGATGATTAGACTTTAAAAGACTTTGTCAACCTAAAAGATTATTCAAAGAACATAGGAAAATGTTAAAACTGAAAAAAACAACTAATAAATTAAAGATGGCCTGTTGTGTTTTATCTAAATGAGGCGGAGCTTACCCTTCTGGAACATTTTATTTGATTTCTTTATCGCAAATTAAATACAGAATTCTGCTCTGAGGGAAAAACAATTAATACAAATATAATGTCAGTGGCAAATTAAAAGCAATGTGAACCTTTCCAGCATTTAAAACCTGTCTCTTTCCTCTCCTGATCTCCTCTCACTGCTTTCATGTGGACAGATAAAATACAAAACAGTAAGTGACTTTTTTCTATTGTAATTTTCTTTTTGTGTGCTGTGTGTTTAATTTGTGTTTTAATTGAGTTAACAATAATTGTTCGTCCTGTTTACTGCTCGTATTTTTTCCCTCCGTCCAATGAGGCACTAATACGTGTTCCTTTTCATTTTGAATGTATTCAATTGTCAATAAAAACAAACAAATACCAAAGGACAAGTTAGAATAACCCCCGGCGACCCCACGAGGAATACATGAATAAATGAAAAAGTAAAAATGTCCATTACTAACCGAAGGGGACAATCCTTTTTCTCTAAAAATACATAATTCTCACTCATTTTCTTGGTAATATCTTACTCCAAACATAGTCTAACAATTGAATTGTTATGTTTGTACAGAAAAAAATGCTTTACCATAACATAAAAAGGAAACCAAAATCGTAAACCAGATTTGGCATATTTCAGAATAAAACATAATAGATTATACTTTATTGTTACTTCTACAAGAACAATGAAAAACAGTTTGGCACTCCTCGATTTCACTGTTACAAATTTAAAACTCTATATATGATACGGTTTATATATGATTTAAACAATATATGATGGTGCGGTCAGTTTAAATCAAATAGTAATTTAATTTAAAGGTAGTTTGCAGTGTAAATTGTAATGTTCAAAGACTAGACTAAAGTTTATTGGTGCTTTCGACTGCTTGTGGGTAGAAGCTATTATTCAGTCTGCTGTTTTTGGCCCTGAGTGATCTGTAGAATCTTCCAGAGGGGCGGGGGGAGGAAAGGGAGTGACCAGGGTGCAGGGTTCTGTCTCTGAGGGGGGGGGGCAGCGTGGTCCCGATCATCTGCTCTGCTGCTCTTTAACACATTGACCTCTTTGGTATTGGCTGCGTTTAATTCCAGGTTGTTGTTGTCAATCCTTTGTCTCAGATGCTGGACCTCCTCCATGTAGGCCGATTTGTCGCTTCTATGATGGTGACATCATCAATATTTTGTCTGATGGTGTTGCCGGTGTGGATAGGGGGAAGACAAATACCGATATTTTTTTTTGATTTTATAATTACTGCATCATTGGGCCTATGAGCTCTTTTAAAAAATAGATTCCATTGCAGTTTGTCTTGTTTTGATCAGACCCTTAGTGTAATAAAACTGCCATACTGCCATGAGTAGCCAATGGCTATAGTCTTCCTCTGCATCTTCTAAATCATAAAACCTGAAATCGTGGATTTGGTTGGCTGGTCTCTAAACTCCACTGAGCAGATCTCCTCCAGCCAAAGAAAAGCAGCAGGGGCTGCATCTGGTCCAGCTGTGACTCACCCTGCTGGTTAAACTACGGATTCCTGGAACAAAAGGAGGATTTTAGGCCTTTCTGTTATTTCAGTGGAGGATGTTTAAGAGCTAGAGCCCAGATAGAGTCAGATACGACGACCAATAGGAATAGATGGCATCACCTTGTGTATTTAATAATCAGTTTTAGGGGCACCACATTTATTTGAAGGGGCCTGGCCCCCTCTTGTCCCTGCTTAGACCCAGCCCTGCTCCTATTGAAACAATTTTGCCAATCAAGTTGACTTTCATAGTCTTGTAATTTTTATTACTTTGTCAGGGTCAGGCTATCTCTCTTACCATGTTTCTCTCCCTATCTTTAAGACATTATGGTATTACTGTAAAATGATTATTTTGTGGATATTGCTCTTGGCCATTAAACTAAATTGTTTAACGTTTTATTCTTTTTCAAGTGGTCACACTGTTCCTTTGTTATGTCCACTGCACTTACATGCACAGTCAGCTTTTTCATTTCCTGGTGTGACCTGAGAACAAGAAGAAGAATTATCTAAAATTATTTCAAAGGAAGTAAATCAGCAAAGCAAAAAGCAACGAGCACTAAACAGATTAAGAGTCCAAATGTGATGTGAATCTTATTTGAACAATTGAAAATGTAACGAAGGTAAACTTTTCTTCCGCATTTACTAATTATATGATCGATTTAGATTAGATCATTTAGTTTAGACATGGGTGATCCAAATTAAAGAAAATTTGTACCATATGCTCATATGTTAGTTTACGATTGACCTGTTCATGTATTTGACCATTGAATTTATCATTACAGATATTTTAGTGCATATCATTGGATTGATTTAGTCATTTTATGTTATTCAGTAATATATACGTGAACATTTTGTTTCTATGTTCATTTGCTGGTCTGCCAGCATTCACTGTCATCGATTTCCTTGCTTGTACTTTGCAGTCGTCACTGTAAAAACACCTACACTTCCCAAGATTTGACTGTTGTCTGTTTGTTTGCTTTCAGTGTTGCAGCCACCAGTCCTGACAGAGCTGCCAGTATCGTACACAGCCTTTTCTCTAGAGGACATCTCTATGCCCTGTGTGGCCACTGGTAACCCACCACCCACGTACGTACACCAGCACACTATTTATGTCCCTTTCCGATTATACGTGAATTATCATTTGCGATATGCTACAGAGACTCTAAATGTGTTACACACGACATATGGCAACCAGGCTCCTTGGCTATCTCTGTCTCTGACTCAGAGGAGCATCAGCATTTCAAAAGTTTCCACATTTTTACTTGTATTTACAGGGGAGTTAATGCCCATGGTGGCACCACTAACCCTTCCATTCACCAGACTGAGGTAAACTGATAAACCAGGCCAGATAGCCATGAGTCTTCTGCCCAGACCACACAGTTAGTGTTCTGCCCCTCCATGCAGAAGGGCAGTCTTCATTGCTCTGCTAATTGTTTGATCTAATTACTCAGGGCTCTTGCTTTGAAAGCTCTTGCTTAGAGTAATTAGATTACCGAGGGAGTGATGGATCCATAAGGAAAACCCTGGAGTCAGAGGGGTTTGATGAACCACTTTGAGTCTCTTTACTCAGAATGAAATCATTTGCCTACTTTGACTACCTTGAAGAGGCCCACTGATCTATTTCAACCTAACCTCAGCAATGATAATTATAAAAAAAAATGCGTATTCGATAAGTTGTCTGGTTTCTACTACTTCCACTGTTATGGCTGTCTTGACTTGTCGTTTTTTGAGCTTTACGATGCGATTCCCATTCGTTTAAATAGGTAAATTACCTGTCAGAAAATTAGCCCCAGGCTTCACTACAATCCTGTTTCCGGCATCTGTTATCATAAACACTAGGTGTGGTCAGCTGTATCACTGCTAAATGCATGCTTGAAAGGGACACAAAAAAGTTATCTTCCATTTTCTTTGGAAGTCAGAACTTGGAAAAGGGGAATAAAATACTCCAATAAGTGTTGCAACTTCTTGCTGCAATGTCTAAGACCACTGATTTATACAAAATCTGAACAGACTAGCTATTATTGTTCTCATAGTTTCATTATGAGTTCATAATGAGTGTGCTTTATTGTCTTACACAATATGGTCATTGTTCCACCAAGAAACATCGGACATTACTATTTGTGCCAGGAATGTCTCTATCTATTACTCAACTGTTCTCAATGTGACTCAGCTGTACCCAGTTCAAGTCATTTCCCATTAAAAATGGTAAAATGGTCAAATCAAATAGCAGCTGTTGACAAATGTCAAGACTTATATTATGTTTCTGTTTGTGGATTTAGTGGATGCTTTTGTCCAAAGTGACTTGCAAGGCAGATACAACATTACAGGTAGCACCAACCTAACAACAAGGTAGAGGGAAATCACTGGTTAGATTCTGTTAGAGGTGAAAGTGTAGAGACAGTGTAGAGACAGTAGAGAGATAGAGGGAAGTGCATTAAAGGGGGTGGGGAGGTACAGGGTAAGAGTTAGGGTAGGAGATTTTATATGAAAAGCTGGGTCTTCAAGAGTATCTTGAAGATAGGCAGGGACGCCCCATCTCTTGTGGCGCTTGGTAAGTCATTTCACCATGATGGAACGACACATGAAATGAGTCTGGATTGTGTTAATCGTGGTGTAGACACTGCTAGACAACGATCCATTGATGACCAGAGTGACCGAGGTATGACATAAGCCTTTGCAAGAGTATCCAAGTAGATGGGAGCCGTACCCTTAAGGACTTAGTAGGATTACATCAGTGACTTGAATTAGATTTGGGCAGCTAAGGGTAGCTAGTGGAGATCAATGAACAGAAGGGTGACGTGCAATCTTTTTGGACTGATTGAAGACCTGACATGCTGCCGCGTTCTGGATCATTTCTAGAAGTTTTACAGTACATGCTGGGAGACCAATAAGGGGAGCGTTGCGATAGTCAAAGCAGGAAACAACTCTAGACTGCAAAGCAACATGATCGAGCAACAGAGGCAACATGGTCTTTTAAGTTCAGCCTGTCATCAATCATGATACCCAGGTTTCTAGCTGCCTTTGATGGAGCAAGACACAGAGATTTAGTTTGGATTAGAATACTGTTGTGTAGGGTTGACTTTGTCAGAATGACCACCGATTTAGCTGGAGGTGATGGGCTTTCATCCACTATGATATGTCAGAGAAACAGTCTGAGATACGTGCTGAGATCGTATGGTTGTCAGGCGGACAGATAGAGCTTGGTATCGTCAGCATAGCAGTGTATGTGAAGACATGTGATAGGTTGATCTTGCCTAATGAGGTGGTATATATGGCAAAGAGAAGAGGTTCCAGTACTGAACCTTGGTGGACCTGTAGCAAGGTGGTGTACTTCAAAATTGCTACCTATCCAGGATATTCAAACCCTGTGATGCCCATGCTCAAGAGTATAGTCATGACTGACTGTGTCAAATGCAGTCGACAAGTCAAGTAGGATGAGTGCTGAGGACTTGGCTGTTATTCTGGTCTCTTTTGAGGCTTCCCCCACATCCAGCCGAGCGTTTTCAGTCCAGTGGCCACTTTTAAAGCCAGACTGGTTTGTGTCAAGGAGGCTGTGATACCTTCTTATAGACTGCCCTTTCAATGGTCTTAGAAAGAAAGTTCTTTGGAGTTCTTTTTGACGGAGTTGTGTTCATGACTCTCATCCTTGGATGCTGCTAGCTGGATCATCTGGCTTGTAGACTGTAAATATGATATTTTTGGTTTGACTCAGCTTATTTGAAACCAAGCAGATTAGGTGCTAAGAAAGCGAATGGTTCCAGGTGTTAATTCTGAATGTAAAACCTAAATAATAAAGTGAGTTGAGTATTGGAAAAGGGCCTAAACAACCGCTAATGACTACAACTCATCACGTCACTGGAAACCAATCTTCTGTGTGGACATTCTCAATCAGCTTTTCCACAGGAAACTCCAAATGGAAAGTTCTATAATTCATAAATTAAGATGATAAAGCTCAGCGCACTGCAAGAAAAGCTAATTAGTAAACGATCTTCATCAGCTTAACCGGAAAATGTCTTCAAGCTCACATTATAAACACACAAAAACAGGACATAACGGTTGGGTCTGTTCTTGCAATACTTGCAATTCATGTTTAAGTTAATGCATTTTTTAATTTTTCAAGTTTCACTTTACCATGTGTCTCATGTGCTTTAGCCGTCCATTGGTGGATGACATGAGTAGGTACATAGAAAAGAGTACAATATGCTGCATCCCACCAATGAATACTAAAAAAGTAGTTTAAAACTGCTCTACTGAGTATGTGTACCTAGTTCGACCAAATCACTGCTTCTCTCATTGATTAAAATGAATGAATGAATGTCTTTGTTATCATTGTAAAGGTACTAAAAAGTGCTGGTAAACAAACTTTACCAACTCTGCAGCCCTGTATTTATTAAAACTTCTCTGACAGTTTATTATATCTGCCAGGCTTGCTTATGTTTTATAACCTTTGGATCGTAGAGTTGGCAGGGGAGAAAGGCTACTTATTATATTTCTATATTAATGAAAATTTGTGCAAAATGTCAATAGAGGTTAAGCTGCCTTAATTCAACTTCTTAACATGCAAACTGCTTTAATCTGCATGGGAATTGTTCTAAAACCCCAAAGTCAACATCTAGATCTCTCTTCAAGAAAGAATGAGGGCAACACTGCAACCTATTGCTGATCAAATTATGGACTCAAAGCTGGTTATTACACGACCAGGCACTGATATTTGATTTGCCTGTGACCCACATCAACATCTGTAAGGCCTTGTGTGCCCCCAAGAATGTCAAATGAGACAGATACCAGCAGTTGAAGCTATACAGATCTGATTTTGATGTATTCTTGATAAAAAATTCAAGAGGTCTACTTATAATTTATCATTTTCAATGGGAGACAGGTCTGGAAAACAGGTCAGTCCGGTACTTGCACACTTGTACTGTAAATTGTTATAACATGGGCAGAATGCTTTTTGGCATTTTCCTTATGAACGAGGCCACAGAATCCTCGAAAAAAACACTACTTATATGACAACATGTAACATAATGTTGCTCATTTAAACCTTCAAGCAGCTTTCACAATTGATGGTGGCTTCACATGTGTGTGCAAGCGTGCATGGTGCACAACATCCAGGATTTCAAGGACTATTTGAAAAGTGGACGCATGAGACCACAACTTTTTTCACACTTTTTCTTATAAGATTGACACAACATCCCAGTTTAACTGGAACTGGGATTTTTATTTCAAATGAAAGATAGTAGCCTTAAACAATGCAGAGTGTCACAGCCACTCCTGTGGGGGGTAAAATGGAAGTAACATAAACGTGAGCGCCAGTTAAAGTTAAAAAACAGAACAGAATGCGATGCTAATAGCACTCAAATTGTAACAAATGTCTAAAGGCAAACATTCAAAACCAAAACAAAATCCTTTACATTAACATCAATAAAAATAAAAACCATCCATCCATCCATCCATTATCAATACCGCTTATTCCCTCATGGGGTCGCGGGGAGAACTGGAGCCTATCCCAGTGGTCAACGGGCGAGAGGCAGGGTACACCCCGGACAGTCCGCCAGTCCATCGCAGGGCCACACACAGAGACACACAAGGACCAACAACCACACACACTCACATTCACTCCTAAGGGCAATTTCCCCAATCTCCAATCAACCTAACATGCAGGTTTTTGGACTGTGGGAGGAAGCCGGAGAACCCGGAGAGAACCCACGCAGACACAGGGAGAACATGCAAACTCCACCCAGAAAGGTCCTGGTTCCCCCGGGATTCGAACCCAGAACCCTCTTGCTGGGAGGCGACAGTGCTAACCACCACACCACCGTGCCGCCCTAAAATAAAAACTAGCGCCTCATTAATTAACAGGTTTATCAGAAGCACACAGAGGGACAGGAGCAGGGCTGGGCATAGCCTCCTCCCAGGGTTTGGGGCTCCTAGCTCCTCATATCCTCAGGGGTCTCCTCCCAATCGGTGGATTGGTTCACAAACCTCCCCTTAAATCAGCCCTCTCTGGTGCAGGTGGATGGCATTAGCCGTCAGCTCCTGACACAGTGCAACATGGAAGCTGTAGTGCACTCACAAGCACACACAAGCACAAACACCACAGCCACAGAAGGTCAAATTCTCCCAGAATGCAGCAGCAGCTATAACACAGCGACAAATATGAGCTAAACGAGTATGTCTGCACGAAAACTTCAATCAGTCGACTATAATTGAAAAGCACATAGAATGCAACCCGTTTAATTCTTCCTGTACCCCTCCTAACACTTAAACTGTATGCAGAAGATCCTTCCAGCTCTTTAAGAAGCAAATTGCTAGCATATCAGCAGATCTTACATAAACACAAAGTCACTCTTATGTCTTCTAAGTTGCTGGTGATAGTTTAAATAAAGACTATTAGTGGACATCAGCTGGAGTAGTTCAGTAAATTATATGCATTGAATTACTTTACATATGTGCTGGCACGGAGGGGTAAAGATTACAGAATATTACCCAGACAGTAAAATGATTGACAACACCAACCTGGGAGCTGCCCTCAGAGAATCACTAATGCAGACAAGGCATGTGACACATTTCCAGATAAACAAATTAAAAAAATTAAGATTTACTACAAAAATGCAAAGCATTAAAAGCTTAACACTCACAAAAAAGAAACTGGACCAAACTAAAAGCTGTACCCTAAACCTAACTTGCAAATGTTTATCTACTTGAAAGAAAAAGAAGATTGATTTTTTTTTAACAACATTGCTTTTGAACAGGCAACAGAACATGTTAAAGTCATATCTGACTTAGCCATCAACAATCGCAGTAAAAGCTTTGTCTCGGAGACCTTTTAGAGCCAATGAAATCGATAAAGATGGTCTGATTGGCTTTGAAGGTATACCTCATCTGTTAAGGCCAATCAATAGCCATACTGAGGCCATTTGATTCCTTAATGTATGCGTGCTGTGCCCTTTGTTATTGAAAATGTTTCTGAGACAGGTAATATCATTAAGCCTTTTCTGTTATCTTAACTACTGTGGGTGTTGTTTGTGGTATGATTTTAAAGGATAGGAGCTTTAATAACTGGTTTAACTCCTTTGATTGACATCTGCTGTTCCTGAGGACCATAAATGTTCTGGAATGTCTTTTCAGTTCTGCTTCTTCGTGTTAGTCAAAATTGTTACAAACTCACCTAAACATTTTCACATTATAATCCAATTGTGTAGAGAAACACGTTGGGCATTACATTATCTTTAAAAACATTTCCATGTTTAGGGGATGATGGCAGCTAGCAGCAAAATATCCTTTTTTGTTCTAATACACATACGTCTTTAAGCTTAATTTTGGCTTGCTTTTATTGGAAATGATCTTTTGGCCTAAAGCTTGGTTTATGGCGCCAGTCAGCCTTAGAAAATATGAGAAATGTCGATAATTATCATCATTGGTACACTTCAACTATGATAGGTGGGGGAAATCCAGGAATTCACACTGTAGGATTTTTAAAGAATCTGTGTGGAAATTATGGTGGAAAATAAGTATTTTGTCACCCATAAACAAGCAAGATTTCTGGCTCTCACAAACCTGTAACTTCCTCTTTAAGAAGCTCTTCTGTCTCCACTCGTTACCTGTATTAATGGCACCTGTTTGAGCTCGTTATCTGTATAAGAGACACCTGTCCACAGCCTCAAACACTCCAAACTGAACTGTGGCCAAAAGGACCCAAAGAAATCCCCAATGAGCACAGCAAGTGAGATCCCCCTTAAAGTTTCTGGTATCATTCCATGCATATGTGGCCTAAACCCAACCTCTGTTTGGCATCACTGTATCGGAGGTACCACACTGACTGCATCACCTTTGCACAGAAGAATGAAACAGAATGGAGGGATTTGGGGATACACACCATAAGACTGAATAGAGCAAATGGCCTAATGTTCAATAATGACTAAATTGTCCCGAAAAACAAAACAAAAAATCTATAGCAGGGTCTCTGATTAGATTGTTGATCGTTGACCTAACACAGGCCCATCTGCAATCCAAGTGTTCATGTTCTAAGAATGACTTTTACACCTCTGCTTTTAGTTTCCGCTGGGTGAAGAACGGGGAAGAGTTTGGGCCGGAGCGTAATAATTCTGGGACATTGAAAGCCGGTGGTGAGGAGCCTCTGGAATACTACGCTGGGCACTATCGCTGCTATGCCTCCAACGCCCTGGGGACGGCCATGACGCAAACCGTTAAAGTCATCATTGAGCGTGAGTCACACACTCCAGCACACCCGGTGGACTGTTGTCCTCGTCGTTTTCTTAAAACTTAGGATGATATGTTCTAATTTGTTCAGCTTTCTGTATTCAGAGCCACACATTTCCTAGAAACACATGCACCCCGTTGTGATTACAACGTGTAAGGCAGGGCTACAACATCGGTTTAATGAATGGTGAAACAGAGTTACCCTCTGAACCAGGGGTGAGACGTTATCTAAATTTTAGAGCTAGTTTAGGTAAGTGCACCTCCTCTTCTATGATAGGATCTTGGGGCTTTGGTTGTATTCTGGTTTGTTTCCTAGCTTCAGTCTTGGTTTCCTTGTGTTCCTCTTAGCATCCTGTGTTTTATTTTTGGCTTTCTTTCCTGTATCGTGTACTTGTGTCTCTTGGTCTATTTCGATTCCCTTCTGTTCTGGTTATCTACTCAACTCAATTAGCCTCTGTTTCCTGGGTCACCTGCTTTTCTTCCACTAATCACTCTTCCCTCTATACTTGTCAGTCATTTCAGTCTTTGCCAGATTCTTACTGTGTTCTCAGCATGTTATTCTGCCCTGTCCTGTCATGTTTGTAGTGTTTCTCCTAGATTGGTTTCGGTTTTCTAGTGTACCCCTGGTGTCAAGTTCAGCTTGGTTTAGTTATCTGGCAAAGCTGTGTTTTTTGTTGTAGTTCAAACACAATTTTGTTTTTCTTGAGTCCTTTGGACGTGGGTTCATCCTCTCACCACCACCGACAGGCTGTAACGCTGGTATATCCTTTGATCGACTATAATCAGTGACATGTGATTGGGCAGGATTCTAAAGGGTTAAAACAACTATACAACAGAAAATATAAAGCTAAAATCTGGCATGTAGCAGGACACAACTACGGTACACAGAAAATCTTCAAGTGATAACCAAATAAGGTCACTGTTATGTTTCTTTGCCATTTCAAGATTGTTTTCCTCGTGGTTGTCTTGCAACCAAAAAAATAAATTTTCTGTTCTGTAAGACATACTCAAGTGCTGTTCTAGTTTTATGTTGATGAGTTGTGTTTTGTTTTGTTTTTTACGCCGGTTTCAGCTCAACCAGTTCTTGTAAAACAACAGAAGCTACAAAAGAGCGCTTTTGAGGGAGAGGGTATCATACTGACTTGCAATCCTCCCAAGAGTTCTACTCCTCCACACATCCACTGGATGGACAAAAGTGAGTTGCCTCGCAGCCATTTACTTTTTTTTACTATTGACAATAGACATACCTTTAGTTCCTGTTTTGTAACTAGTAATCTCTGTTCAACTTTAAAACAACACAATTTGAACCATCCATCTTGGAGCCCCATTGAAGGGACAGCTCTGTAGACAGTTTATTTTCTAAGTAGTTCATGTAACACCTCCAAATTTCCTTGGTCTAACTTTGTCTACAAATGTACTTTCTGCCTCATTTGAAAATCAGTGAATGAGAATTTAAGGAATTTTGTTTTTTTTATACATTCTTGCTTAACTATTACAATATTCATATTCAACCAAATAAAAGTCATCCAGTGGGAATTCTGTGCATGTTTTTTAAACTCACCAACTTTATAAAATGACCTATCTGGATTTTTTTGTCTTGTTCGGCAGGGATGGTGCACATAACTCAGAGTGAAAGAAAAACAATAGGTCTGGATGGGTACTTGTACTTTTCCAATCTTTTGGTAACTGACAGCAGGAATGATTACATCTGCAATGCCCAATATGCGGAGGCCAGGACCATCCTTCCCGAGACTGCGGTCAACCTCACCGTCATGCCTAGTGAGTACTTGTACAAAAGCGCACATCCAGGATACGAACAAATGGATTTTTGTTTTGATTAAATGACCAGAACTGCTTTTAAAATTGAATTTTAATCGATTTTTTTTGTTACTTATATATAAGGCCATAACAAAACAAAGCAATCTTCCCAAGGTCCCTGCTTTAAAAACAATCCCCCAACTGGAGCCTGGTATATAAACACCTACCCGCATGGATCTTTTGTCATGTTTTACAGCCTAACAAAATATACCCCAAAGATTAACCAAACATACCAAGAGGTACCTGTAAATCGCCTGCACAGACCCTACAAAACCCCTTTCTTACCCTATCAGGTCCCTGCATTTAAGATGTCTAGGATCTGGATGCTGCCACCATGACATACATCGTCACTTTCCGACCACGGCTCATTGGTCAACAGCATTGACAAAGACGCCCCAAACCTTACTTATTCATATTTAATATCCTCTGTCTTCATGTGAAGGTATCAAGGTCAGCCCTACTGTAATTAGCTGGCATCTATCAACCTCTCACACAAGATCAAGCTCCTTCCCAAACCATGTGTAAGTGACGCTCCATGTTCAAATAGTCTGTCAAAGCAGCAACGGACTGTCAAGGCTTCTGCTTTTGACCACTGCCCAATCCAGAACAGATTTCATCTCCTCTATATTGAGGTTTTTATACATGTTCTAGGAAGTCTACGTGATACCTACACACTTTTGTTTTTACTTTAAAAAAAACCTGGATAACAATATCCTTAAACTGGATCAGCGGTTTCCATCCAGATCGATTACAACCGGGGAAAGGCTTTCCCTTTATTTGAATGGTTTACCAGAATACCCCACAGGTCTTACAATTCCTCCTTCCCGTATGCACCAAACCGCTATTTCTGCAACCTTTTAAGCCAACTGGTACCTGTCAGCTGTTCTAAGAGACCCCCGGGATGACCAAGGCCAAAAGGTTTCCTTCATCAGCTTGGTGGCTCAATGACATTCAGATCCCATGCCCATAACTTCCAATCGTATCTGAGAAAAATTCCCCTGGGACTTCAAGTTACCATGTTGAGAAGGGCCTTTACAAGACATTCCCAGTCCACCCCCTATCCTGATTTGGGTTGACCAGGTCTGTGCAGTGTTCTCTGCCTCTGAGCGCTTCCCCTCACCACTAGGTGTTGATCAGTTGACCACTCCACCACACTTTTCATCCTAAAAAACAACAGCAGTTTCTCTCCACAGCAACCCTACAAGCACGATGGCAACTGCAATATTGACGTCTTAAAAACATGGTGGCCGCTTCTTCCAATGAAACATTGAACATAATATACACTTTTAAAGATGCTGGTGCATTATGAATAACAAAATTACTACAATACTATCATTACTATTAATAGTTCTAGTAATAGTAGAATTATCAGTATTAAAGGTTCCTACATTTATTGGACATCACCACCTAGGTACCTTGTTTGTCAGTACTTGTAAACTTAACTAAACCTAAGAAACAATCTAGTAACCTTCGATGACAACCACCAAACTATTCTTAATAACCTTTTACCTTACAGGATTATCACTATTATGAACCTTAAAAAGAAACATTGACTGCAGTGAATGTTATTGAGAAGTATATTTGGTTGATCCGACATCCTCTAAGGCACCAAAGTCAGTTTGAAATCTTTGTGTAAAAAAAAAGTGCAGTTGCTGCCACATCCAAATAAAAGATTGACATCGCCTGCTTGCAAGCTAGCTAGCTTGGTGCTATGCTTAGATATCAGTCATTTGTTAAAAAGCATGTCTTTTCTTTAGTGCTTTGTTTTAATAATGTAAAAAAAATAAGATAGTTTGCTGTTCTCAGAGTTGTGGAGTACTGAAGTTGACTTTGATTACAGTTCAGGGAAGTTATCAATTATTAGCCTTCATTTTGGACAATTTCCCTAAACAATTTATTCAGATGAAAAACTAATGCATTGCCGACTGCAGGATTTTATCATCCCTATGTAGAAATGTCTTTGGTTCTGACAATTTTTAATATACCATCTATGTCATGGTCTGCCACATTGGTGTAGATTGTCAGTCATCAGGTCATGGTAATCCGATCAGTTTGAATTAAGGCAACTAGACTTTCTTTTCATATCTTTAGAACATTTCAAATCTCATTCAAAAAACAACTTTTCAGTTCCAAGGCCAACATGATGATCGTCAGTTCCATTCTCGCCTGTAAATTGTTTGAATCTCTGAAACGCTGAGTTTCAGTCAGAGAATCCAATTTGTGAATGGCTCTGAAACTACCGAGGGAATATGCCTATGCTTATGTATTAGCCATCCACTTATACATAAAAATGTAAGCAATGAAATTATTGCTCCCTACAAATTCCATAAAGCAGTCATTTAACACACCTTTTTAAAGGTACTGCACACTATTTTGTGACAAATCAGAGTGAAAAATATACCTCAATGCCAATGGGTTTTACTATTCGTGAACTGATGACATTAGAGCAAACCACCTGCTGCAATGATTAAGACAAGAGACTGTTGTTCACATTTCAACTAAATTGTGTGTTGATGTCAAATTATTTGTTTCTCCATCCCTAGGCAATGATGTCCTTCTTGGTAGAAAACCTGAACTTTTCCGTCCCACTGGCCATCACACTTCAGTGCTGGCCCTCAGGGGTCACAGTCTCACCCTTGAATGTATCCCCAAAGGCCTGTAAGGACATATTTGTTTTTTATAGGGTTTTTTTTGCAAATAAATATTTTATATGGAATTTTTTTGGTTATTTTGGTTTGTAGTTTATATTGGACCCTTCATTTTTGTATGAGGAACACATATCTAGAGATAAAACAATTAGACTTCAGGCCACATCCGCCTGCTTTTAATAACAATTATGTAACATTGAACAATAGATAAGCCAAACATTTGACTTAAAAACACAGAAAAAAAACATCTATTGAAGGTGAAAAGGCAAGCATAAATCACTATATATTTACAGCTAAATTCATATAATACCACAGCATTTAAGAAATGTTTGTAGACATTTTATTGTTAAACTATGAAGGCCTTTAAAATTATTGTAAAAAAATTTGACTATGTGAATTATTCTGTAATCGACAGTAATTTAACCAGCATTTTAGTAGACGATCCACGAATAGACAACTAAAGCAGTTACTTAGTTTTTTTTTTTTTTATAAGAATTACATCAAAACAAAAGCTAAATAACTAAATTGGACAAATTTGGCATAAACTTCACAAACATTCATTTTTACCAAATCTTCTCTGTTTAGTCTGTAATTGGGCCTGTGAATGGAAAGCTGTGCCTGGATAGTTTTAGAC